CTGGACGGGCGCCTCGACAGGGCAGCGTCGTCTGTAGGCCCGGGTCAAAATCTGTGCGGTGTCTCCAGCTCTGCGCCCCCCTCCTTGGGAACTGCAGTTTAAGTTTCAGTTAAAACGGCAGTCTTGTACGCCTCTTCCTGGTTTCACGCGTTTCAAATGAAGACTGAGTAAGTGGAAGTGTCGGCGTTGCCCCTGAAAGCTGTGTCAAGAGCTGTGCGCCCCGGAGCGGTCGTGTTATTAGAGCCGCTAAGCGTCTCAGGAGCAGTGTAGGGGCTTGAACTTCAGCCTTGACAGGAGGGTAAAATAGTGCCTGTCGTATGTTTTATTTACTTGTTTTATGTTACTGTTGGCTGTATTTCTTTCCGCTTTACCTGGCACGTTCAGATTTGGACTTGTAAGTGGAAACAGAAAAGAAATGCTTCATTACTTTTTAGGTGCTTGACGTTTCTGTTCGCTTTTTGATGTCTTTTTATGTAATTATTCCTCAAGAAACTTCAGATGTTGTAACTACTTTGTTCAACTTTTTCTTTTTTTCCCCTTTTTTTTTTTTTTTAAATAATTATGAGCTGTACATGCTATTCATTCTTCATCCATTTAGGCCTTCTGCTTAGGAACGGTCTTATTTATCTAGTTGTGCCAGCATGCCTTTTTCAGAGACTTAAGTAAGAATCAAGTTTTCGCTCGTTTTGATGTTTGGTAATCCCAAGCATAGAGGACATAAATGAAAACTTTATTTATTATGTGCTCTCCTAATCAAGCGTTCAATGAAATGTTATTAACTCCAGGTAAAGGAAGCACGGGAAAATGATCTTAATTTGTTTGGGGCCTCCAAGAAAGGAATGCGTGGCTCTGACAGCTAAAAAGCCTGATAGCCAGGAGGGAAATCCTGAACTGTTGTAATACAAGAGAGCTGTGTCGTCTTCAGCCTTCTCTTTGAGTGTCACCTTAAGTTACTAGTGCATTTTTTAGATGCCAGTAAACCTGCACGATGGCATCTTACTTGTACGTAGCTGCATCTCGCGGCTCATATATGAGCAAATGAGTAATGTCTGTTTTCTCTAAAGTTATAACTAAAATACTCTGGGAACATAAGCATAGGTTCTCTCTGATCTCTGGTAACTTGTGACAAGAGAACAAATTGACTAAAATCATATATGTTCCCACAAATAAAAATGAACTGCTTCAAACAGACTGAAGCTCTTTCGCATGAGACCTGTGAGGAATGCCAGCCGTGTGGCCAGTGCGGTGCTTGTCTGGCCTGTTGGCCTGTAACTCTCTGTATGTGGCTACCAGTAATTTTGTGTTTTGAACCCTAGCAGTAATGTTAAAAAGGAAAATTAATGAAACCTTCCTTAGGAAATAACCATTTTTAGAAATAAAATAAATACCCTTCCTGTGCCTTTTTTTCCTCCGTCATGTTCTGACCACGCACTGAATAATGTAACCATTTGTTTCTGTGATATTTTGACTGAAGAGAGTCTGTCAGATTCCACTGTCTGCTGCTCAACTAAATTTCAGGAAATAAATTTGTAAGCTGAATGTTTACAGGCTTTCTTATTACACCTTTGAAAGAAACTTTGTTATGTACAGAGTGCTTAATTTCAATATGAATCACCTTGTTAGCTTGTTATTTGTTGAAGTGATACAGTGATCATATATTTCAAGCTACTCAAATGCTGTCAGTATAAGTGAAGCCGTTTTAGAAGCACGCTTTTGCAAAGTTGGTTTTACAGAAGCCTTTATAACAAACGTGCTGCTTCACTCCATGCAGTGGAATTCCATTCACAGCTGCATCTTTATGCTGTCTCTTGTCATTTTATAGGAAGTTTATCATCGAATGGTGACATGTTCTTTTAGTTCTGGGGTATCGGGTGGGTTGTAACCCACTAATTACTTACTGTAATTAGCAGATGCCATTGTTTTTGAACTTCACTTACAGAAAATACACCAGAATGTATCTTTCTATGCATTTCATTGCATTTACTTTGCCTTTCATTGTTTTTACTTTAGCAATATTACTGAAATAATTGTATAATGATGCCTTCCTTGCTGTGAAAAGCCCAAGTGGACAGTGTTATGGGAAACAATTAATAGAGCAGTACTAAATTATCATATGA